GGGCAGCGTGGTGCTTCCCTGCGACCGGAGCAAAGCTGCATCTTCACAATGACAGCACAAACAAGGGCAATAAAGCTTTCACTGCCTCAGGTGATTAACCTTGATGGGAACAGCCCTTTCCGTGCTCGGGCTGCTCCCTGTGCACGAAGCACAGCTGGGGAGGGATGGCCCCAGCGCTCTCCCCGAGGACTCTGGCAGGCAGGGACTGGGGATACTGGGGGTACCCCACGCGCGTGTCAGCTCCAGACCCCGCAGGCTGTCCCCCATCGCAGCCTGGAGTACATCAGCCTCCCGCGGGGCAGAGCCGCGGCATCGCCACTCACCTCCGCCTTCTCCAGCTTGCTCTGGGCCTCCACCTGCGCCACGATCTCGTTCATGTTGGTCTCCAGCACCATGCCGCCTATCACCACCTCCTGCAAGATGTGGTGAACCTGCGAGGGAAGGGAAGGGGAGGGGAGGGGAGGGAAGCGAACCCAGCACAGCACACCGGCCGGGGAGCGGCGGCGGCCACAGTGCCTGCAGGTTGATGCGTGAGCGCGTTGGGCGCTGGCGTTTCCCCGAGAGACGCAAATCCAGCCCCGTCCTCCCCTCAGCCCAGGCAGCCCCGGCAGCAAGAGGGCAGCCGCGCTCCTCAGCACCGCGAGGGTCCGGCAGCCCCATTTGCTGCTTGTACCTCTGCTCTGGAGGACACCCACCACAGGGGCCGGAGCAAACATCACCCGCTGGACCACCGGGCACAGGGCAGCCCCCAGAGAGCCCAGTAGGACCCGGCGTGCTGGCCCACCCCGGCTGCCCCATCTCCGACACCTCAACTGAAGTTTGATGCCTCCCTGGGCTGGGGTGGCACGGGGGAAGCCTGCCTAGAAAGCACACTGGAGAGGAGCCCACAGGGCAGCGGCGGTGCCAGGACCTCCAGAGCCATCGGGCAGGATGCTTCTTCCCAGAACCAGTTTCTTCCACCCAGTAAGACAGGCCAGCGCCCACGTCCTGTGCTTTCCCTTACGAAAGACGGGACTGTGACACATGCACAGAGACCGCTAAGAGAGCCTGCTCCCGTCCCCGGCGTCCGCCCGGGTCCAGGGCTGAGCCAGAGCAGTCCCAAGCAGTGAGCTGCTCCCTCCTGCCAGCCCCGGCCGGGGGCGACCGGCGATACCCCGCAGCCACAGCAGGGGAAAATGCTGCAACACACCTTGGCTCCACTGCCCCGCACAGCCCCGCTTCCCCTGCTAAGTCAGCAGCTCCTAACAACCACGCAGCGCAGATAATGAATTTATGGGTCTCTGCTTACTTCCATGAAATAGGCTATTACTGGAAGATGGTTAAGTTATTATATCATTTTATGGCTTCAAGAGGGCAGGTTGCACCATGTGCGAATACTGCCAGGGCAATGCTGTGAAAAATAAAGCAAGCCAGAGAACCTGCTAGAAGGGGGAAACGCAGCTCTGTGCACACAGTGAGCCCGATGCCCTGCAGGGCTCCCCGCGGGTCCCGTCCTGCTCCGACAGCACCAGGAGCAGCAAGGTGTGCGGCATCAGCACTGCGCAGGGCGAGCCACCCGCAGTAACAGCACCTTCCCACGACACCCGCAGCACTGGAACCGCTGTCCCACAGCGCAGCACAGCCTCAGCTCAGCCCGGCCCCGGCAAACGCCGCACCGGACGGTGCTAGCGGCTCCCCGCAACAGGAGAGCATCTGGGCTGCAGGAAATGTTGTTCCTTCAAGATCTGGCATCGGCCCAAGTTGGACCAAAACCAACAGGGCAGAAGTCCCAAGCAAGCTTTTGTTTTCCAAACCGAAACACAGCATTTCCTGAACAAACCGTGTCCTCTCCAGGACCTCGCAGCTGCTTAGAGAAACTCACGTTCTCCTCCAAGGTACGAAGCGCAACCAGGGGCTGGGCAAGAGCCTCCTTGAGCCTCCTCACGGCTTCGGGGCTCCAGCCTCCCCTTGCGAAAGGTGGATCGCAAGAGCTCTGAGGTCGCTGCTTCCAAAGCTGAGAGACTAAAACCACTGGTGCCCGAGAATCACAGCCCCAACCGCCCCAACCAGCTGCTCGCTGCGAGACCAGGGACCCGAAACCCACAGGAGCTCTCGTTCCACGGCCCCTGTGCTGCATACAGAGTGCAAGGTGTATCTTAAGGCAGTAACAGAAAGCCACAGGCCTCAGACAAGGCTGGACCCGAATCCCAGCCAGAACCTGCTGGGTTGGGGATGTTCACAGCCGAAGTCTCTGCTCGACAAATCAGCGCTTTCCCACCGACGCTGGCCTCGTTTCTCCGGTTCCAGTCGGGAACTCACGAACTCTGCAATCCATCCGCCGGAGCGGAGGGTAGCACCGTGCCCTGCACGCCTCGAGACAAACCGAACTCCCGGCGGCGGGGCTCCGTGGGAGCGCTGGGGCAGCATCGCAACCGCCGAGAGCCCTGCCCGGGCACGCCAGGGGCAAGACCCGGGACGAGCAGGACACACCTGCGTATTCCCAGCACCCCCCACACCGCCCGGCTGCAACCAAGCTCTTGGAAAGCACCAGCACTCAACACGAACACGTCTGAGAAATAGATAAATGGCAAATGTATAAAGAGAGATGAGAGGACAAGCTGATAGCGGCCAAGGACTGACATCAAGGCTGGGAAGCAGCGGGAGCACAGGATGGGAAGTAAACAAGCCTGACTGGTAGGACAGCCTGGCGGTGAGCGAGGCCGGGGCCTCTCCTATCAGAAACCCTCCCGACTCCTGTCTCCTTCGAACCCTTCGCTTGGCAGCGGAGTTCAGAGGAAGGGCAATCTGTGCTACCGCTGGCAAAACAGACAAGCAACAGGGTAATCTCTGCTGCCTGTGGGCTGCGGATTGAGTGCAGAGCTGCTGGGTCTTGGTCACGCCACAAAAATAAGTAACTGAGAGCACATCCTCCCCCAGATGTGGCCAGAGGTGATCTGGGTGGCTGCCATCCCTCCTCCCACAGGTACACCTCCTTCCTCTCCTTTTGCTCACTTTGATAAGAACGCTTTTGCTGACGAGATAATCAATCTTGTCACATTTCTGAAAGTTCACATACGGGCAAATTATGAAATGAAAGTCTTACTTCCCCAGTTGCTCGTACATTCAGCTGACCCAGATCGCCTTCTAAGAAGATTTGCTAACTCCATGCCACTGCCAGAGTTCGCAAGTTGGAATCACCAACAGAAAGGGAACATTTTACAGCCTTATTTTTTCCCACTCCCCTTTTTGTTGGCATGTTTTCTCTTCAGCAAAGCAAGAGAACCCTTATCAACAGCAACAAAAGTCCAGCACACGTCAGCTAAGTCTCTCTCTCTAAGTCCCGGCTATCTTCAGCCGCATCTATGAGACGATCAAAGAGAACAGGTTTCCGCCCAGAAACTCCGTCCAGCTATAGAGGAAGCATGAAAGGCTGTGGCTCAAACCAAAGTTTACCAAACACTTTGTATTCCAAACACTCCCATTGTTCCTTCCCTTTTTTTCCCTGCAGCTCTAGTAAAACGTGAACAAGACTCCCCACAGGGCCCACGGTACAGGAGAAGAGGCGAACCCCCCCTGCGCCAGAGCCTGCCCAGCTCCACCAGCGCCGGCCCGCGCAGAAGAGCAAGAGCGAAGCCTCAGCGCAGACCCCCCTCACTTGGCCGCACAGTTACCCACCACCGGTGCATTCACCGGGACAGCCCCCAGGCCCCGCCATGGCCGTGCCGCAGCAGAGAGCGCAGCCCTGCAGCAGCAATGCACCGGGGCGAGCGCCGAGAGCCGAAAGCCAGCTTGCGCCTGGATTCGGAACAGTGTCCAGCGACTCAGATCTCTTGGCGGACACGACGGGAGCGGCGTAAGAAGATCCCACGCTGACAACTTCCCCAGCCAGGATTTCAATCTCTCCCCCAAAAATGTACCAGTGGCCCCTCCCGAAAGGCTCCAGAGCTCAGGGCCGGCCGGCGCCTGCCCGAGAGAGCACAGGCGCTAGGGAGGACAGGCTCCGGGGCAGCCAGTCGCTGGTGGCCCAACAGTGGTGGCCCAGAGGAGCCCACAGAGTCTACAACCCACCTTGTCCATGTGGAAGATGAGGTCTAGCTCGCAGACGTTCTCAAAGCACTTGTCCAGCGTCTCCACAAACACCTGAGGCGGCAGAAAGGGAAGGTCAGTACAGAAGACCGCAGCAAGGTGCTTCCCACACGCAGCCCCAGCGCCTGCAGGCACAGCACGCTGCAGCCCCGACCAGAAATGGCGAGAGCGCTCGCTGCGCCCCAGGCTGGCACCCCCCACGGGCACAAAACCCCCTCAACAACCCCGTCGCCCTTCGACGGCAGGGGAGTGCCCCTTCCCAGGGCAAACACAGGCAGGTCCAGCCCGGGGGCTGACCGGGACCCCCGCAGCGCGGCAGCAGCCGGGGGCAGCGTGGGTCAGGGATTGCCACGTGGGCACCGGTGCCAGTTCTTGCCGCAGCACAGAAACCAGACCGAGAAGCACAGACCTCCTTGAGGAGAGAGGTTGTCTTGGGAAGGGGCCGCGGCTGGAGCAGGAGCGTGGCCCTGGCTGTGCCGGCTGCGAAGGGAGGGCACGGCGGGTCCCAGCGGGGCAGCGCGGAGGGCTCCTCCTGCAGCCCCGGGGAGGGTCCCCCGCAGCAGCGGTGTGTACCCGCTTGCTGCTGCCTTCAGGCACCGCCTGCACCCCCGGAACCTCTCCTCGCGGGGATCTGATCAAGCCCCAGCTCAAGGGGCGCAGCACCAAGGTCAAGGTCACCGCAACAGGGGACTCGGCCGTTCTGGGCAGAATCCCCGGTGCCGATGTCCTGCCCTGCTGCAGCGCTGTGACAACGGCTGGTCCCCGTGTCAGGGGCAGCGCTGCAGCGCACCAGAACGGCCTGAAAGGAGTTACGGGAACTGCGTGGTCCCAGGGCGGGTGACCCCAGGAGGGCAGATGGCTCCTGCCAACTCCTGCGCCGACACTCTCCCGCCTGCCGTTAGCCGGGTTTAGCAAAGGCCCCTTTGCAAGTCCACAGCGTTTGAACACAATTTTAAAAACGCTCTTGTAGTTTTGGTCCCCTCACGTCAAGAAAGTCACTGAGGGGCTGTAGCGTGTCCAGAGAAGGGCAGTGGGGCTGGTGAGGGGTCTGGAGCACATGTCTTACAGGGAGCGGCTGAGGGCCCTGGGGGGGTTCAGCCTGGAGAAGAGGAGGCTGAGGGGAGACCTTCTCGCTCTCCACAGCTCCCTGACAAGAGGGGGTAGCGAGGCGGGGGCGGTCTCTGCTGCCAAGGAACAGGCGATGGGACAAGAGGAAATGGCCTCAAGTTGCACCAGGGGAGGTTTAGGATGGATATTGGGGAAAATTTCTTCACTGAAAGGGTTGTCAGGCACTGGCACAGGCTGCCCAGGGAAATGGTGAAGTCACCATCCCTGGGGGTATGTAAAAGATGTGTAGATGCGGTGCTGAGGGACGTGGGTTAGTGCTGGGCTGGGCAGGGTTGGGTTAATGATTGGACTTGATGATCTTAAGGGTCCTCTCCAACCTAAGTGATTCTGTGATTCTACTTTTTAAAGCCACTCATTCAGATTGACCTCCCCCGCTGCTTCCAGGTGGAGGAGCTGTGTATCGGCCAAGGTGCCTGCAGCAAGCCCTGCCCGCGGCAGCCCCCCGCACGGCTGCTCAGGCGCTTCCAGAAGGGCCAGCGCAGAGATGCCACAGACAAAGCGCACCGGAAAGGTGTCGTGGCTGGGCTGCCCGGCGGGGACTGCGCTCCGGGGGAAAGCGCCCACCGGCCGCCCTCGGGCAGCGAACCCGACTGCAGCGAGACCGACCTGGATGAGGTCCAGGATGCCCAATTCGCTCTCCGAGGAGTCCACGCAGAAGACGAAGTACAGCGTGGCGTAGTGGCGGTAGATCAGCTTGTAGTCCGAGCCACCAAACAGGCTGGGGAGACACGAGGAGAGGTGAAGGAGGGCTTTGGGGAGGGACAGGCAGGCCAGGCGCTGCCCCGGCCGCGGGGGA